TGGCAGAGAGAGTTCAGTTACATCCTCCATAAAGAAGAGTAATGTCTGATAACATGCCTTTCTCTCAGTACACTCACACACACAACTGCACACCTGCTTTCGTACCATTCCTCCTGGTCTTGGCTACATACAAGTCAGGAAGAACTTGTATACAGGGATAACAGAGTAAATTCAGGAGCACTGTCTGCAAACGGCATCTTCTCTACCTGGAGACCTTTTTTTTGTTGCATCTTTCCATCAATTTACAAATCTGCTCACCTGAGCAAGGAAGGTGTGGATAGAATCAAAGAAGCTTGAGTCTGGAAGCAGAAATAAAAAGGGCAGCATTCGGAATTGTCTGAGAGCACACTGGTGAACCCACGTGCGTTCTGTCAGTGCCAAGCTTGAGTGGCAGGAAGTGCCCCCAAAAGACCAGAGCCCACTTCACTGATGACCTCGTTCACTTGCAGGTTTAATTTTCCATAATTCGTGGCTGACATGAGTTCAGGAAAACTAACAACAGAAAAAAGTCATATCCAAATATACTTTATATTTAAATGTTTAATATATTTAGAATGTCTTTTGATATTTATTTCCCCACTCCCCTGCTATTTTCGGAGTAATCTGTTCTTTTCCAAGGATTTGCAGTGTTAGCTCCATTATATGCTCAATTTACATTTATTCCTAAGTCTGATTCTGGGAATTTTTTCTTCTCTTCCTTTGATTTGTCCACCTTTTCCTATATTAATATATTCTGTTTTTAATTATTGATACTTTGTAATACAACTTAATGATCAGTATAGCACAGTCCTCTTCATTCTTCTTTTCTAAGAATTTTGGCAGTCTCTTTATTCTTTCTAGATGAAGTTTAATTTCCCAGCATTAAAAAGAATGCTGTGGGGATTTTTTTCTCTTGGAATTATGTTAAATTTGTAGAAAAAGTTGGGTAACATTGATATTTTTACTTTGAGGGTTCATATCTAGGGATGTGCTATTTTTTCCATTTATTCAGATTTTCTTATGTCTCTCAGCAAAGTTTTATAGTTTTCTTCCCAGAGAGCCTTCCCAGACTATTTTAAGTCTGTACTTACGTGCTTTCCTTTCTTCTTGCTATCGTACATGAAATATTTTAGGTTTTCTGGGTATAGATAACACATCCAGAAATGTACTTGCATTTCCAAGGTCAGTACATTTTTGCTCCGATTTTTACTTGCCTTTGGCCTTTGCACTAGAGATATAGGCAGGAGTCTTCATGTGCTTTAGATGGATCCCGCCACACCTCGGAATCCCTTCCAGCCCTGCCTCCGCATAATGGGGGTGGCCCCAAGCGAGTCTTTCCTTTGGCATGGGTTGTTTTGTAAAGTCCCTGCTAATTTTTTAAATGTTAAAAAAAAAAAAAAATAGTACCTTTGGCATAAGCACGATCTGTATCTCCATAGAAAATGGATTAGATTTTCCACTAAATCTTTTAATGACAAAAGATGTCCGTTTTCCTTAAGGAAGAGTTGAGTGAACTGGATTTTAACCAGACAGCCTCTGTTTACCTAGTGAGACACTCTGAGTTCCCTGTTGATTTTGAAAGGAATATGATAGGGTTATAATTATCTGTGTTTGCTCCCAGCAATTATCCTTCCTCAAAGGAAGCTAGGATTGAGAGAATAACTGCTACCATACACAGAGCACTTCCCGTCAGACCCTGGTCTGGGCTCGCATACGCCGTCTCAGTTAACACTCACGACAGGCCTTGCGGGGACGCATTGTCATCCTCCTCCACTGCCAAGGAAACGGACGCTGCGTGGAGTTAAGTAATCTGCCCACGGTCACACAGGAAATAAGTGGCATGGCCAGAGTCCCAAACCTTTACCCTTAATCATTACGCTAATATTTGGTTGTATAGTGACTGACACATTCAGAATATAAAAATAATTAAAAACAAAAATAAAATTTGAGATACTAAAAAAAAAAAAGCATAGCAAAGAGAAGCTGTAGTTTGCATCTAGTTTAATTATCACTAGTTATAGGCCACACTTGACTCTGAGTATCCAGATCAAAGACTAGTTTCTCTGTGCTACTGTAGACCAAAGGTGTATCAACCTATTCACAATAACAAGAACAATATTTCTGAAGAGTCAGCAGGTGAGGTTTGTCAAAGTCCATCACTTACAAAGCAGTTGGATCAGCGCAAAGAGGAGGCAGTTGGGGCAGGAGGGGGCCAGGATTTGACTACTCTTTTCTGCTGGCGGCGGGGCGGGGGTGGGGAGCTGGGAGGCAGCTCTTGACAACAGGAAGAGGTCTGTCTGAATATGTGATGAGAGGGGACCCAAGTAAGGGTCAGATGGAGGTGTCGAGTGGCTTCCTGTTGAGGAGATGTAGCCAAACCTGCTAATTCCTGGAAGAGGGGATTAGGCCAGGTTCACGGTGGGACAGTAGGCTCCTTCTCGAAGGCCAGAGCCCTGGGCAGGGGAGGGGTCAGGACTGAGGACAGAGAGCTGAGACAGGAGCTTGTTCTACTTGTTTTAGATCTAGGCGCTCCATGGGTGCTCATGGCTGGCTGACGGGTCCCAGCTTGGGGGTAGGGGTATGTCTTGGAGTCGAGGACCCTCGGTGGAAGCTGCTACAGGGGGGTCTGTTTGCTTTTCTGCATCTGGCTCAAGAATTGAATTTCACTGCTCTATGATGGAACTGAAGCTTCCTCACACACCTCATCCCTCCCCTGAGGTGGGTGCAGGCAGCAGCCTGCGGATGTGTGTGCGGCACGTGGGCAGGGCAGCCGTGAGGCTGGAGCAGTGAGGCGCTGTAGCAGGCCGAGGCAGGCACTCCAGAGACAGCAGCTGGCTTTGGATCTCTACAAAAATCCAGCAAGCACTGCGGTCCTATTTTCATAAAACTAGGTCAGCAAATACTGAACGAACATGTATTACTCTAAGCTTGAATCAGTCAAATGGCTGATTTCAAGTTTCACAACTGGGAGTGTTCTTCGGCCACCCACACTTAGGGAGTGAAATTGTCCTTTCTGGGCCCGACTCCCTGGATAACTAGAAATGACACTGCATGGAAAGATGACTTTTATTATTTTTATCAGAAAACAAACTTCCTTAAGAATTTACATACTCATATCTATAGATAAACCCACATCATAGAAGGACTAATATGACACTGTTCTGAATCATGCAGTGTTTGCAGTGAGCAGGCTGAAAAAAATGTCTAATTTTAATTTTTGAACTTTTAAAAAAATGTGTAAACTTTGTAGTGGGAATAAGTTAGATAGCTATATATGACTAATCATAGTTTTTCATAGTGTTTCTAATAGTAGGATCTGTTTTCATGGCTCTTTCATGAAGAGGTGAACAAGTACATTTTATACACAGGTCCTGTGTTTGTGTTTCTCCTCATGTAGTAGTTGAAGGAGCAAACTTCTAATGTGAGTCTTTGTTTGTGGCCATTCCACATGGGCAGGTTTTCAGAGCAAGCAGAAGTCTTATAAAATAGTACAGAATTTATACCACTACATCTTCCTAGCTCAGGAATGGACACCAGGGCTTAGGGGTCCTTGGAGAGCTTAGGGCAACCTCGAGAGCTAGATGAGGAAGGAGTCTCAGAAGCAGATGAGGCGGGGGCTCAGAACCATTCAAACCCCGAGAAACTTAGTCCAGTGGAACAGAAGACACCATCCATGCAGCAAACATGTATTAAGCATATATATGAGAGGGGAAGGCATCAAGGGAAGCCAACAATAGTTAAGTTGTAATCCTGACTTTCTAAGGAGTTAGCAATGAATGGTTAAATCGCAAATACCAAAAAAATTCAGGCAGAACAGTGAATTTCCCAATGAATAGTATGAAAAGTAAAAGGAGGAAAGGAGGAAGCCCTGTGGACTGGAATGTCCTATGAAGGCTTTGAGGAGGTGGAGGTTCACTGAAGCAAGAACCCTGAACCTCAGCTGTTTCTTACATTCACGGAATCTGCTAGGTTCCAGGTTAAAGCCTAAACCAGGGTTTCAGTGAAGTATTCATTTCCAAAATTCTAGAGACTCCTGTGCTTCTGGTCTGTAGTAAATGCTGTCTCTCCAGTGAGTGTCTGCAGCTTCTGCCTCAGGCAGCCTTCCTCCCATTCTGTCCTGCTCCAAGACATACAGGTGGTCCTTGCCAGCTCTCAGCATGCTTGTTGGTGTAGCAATACCACTGATAGGCTTTTTCCTTATTTTTGAAAAAAATGCATTTAACTTTTTGAATGGCTGAAAAACGAAAACCTGTAACAAATTATTCAGTAAAAATTCCCTCTCTTTCTTTGTCCCTGTCCGACTAGCCCTGATGCTTCTCTGCCCAGTTGCTGTTACTAGTTTCTTATGTATCATTTCAGACTTTCTTTATGTCACACAAGAAGATATGAATATAGATAATTATTTTTCTTCCATTTGTACTCAAAGCTAGCATGTTATAGGCATAGTTTGGTATCTAGCTTTTCTTTTCTTAACAGCGTATCTGAGTGCTCTTTCCTCATAATGCATAGAGCATATTTTCATTGTCTTTCATAGCTGCATACTACTCTACTGTCTGGGTGCACCCTAATTCACTTGACCAGTCCCTATTGATGATGGGTTGGGCTGTTTCAATCTTTGCTGTTATTAATAAAATTGTAACGAATAACCATACACATTTGTCATTCACAAGGATAAATATTATATACAGCAAGATAAAGTTGTCATGATTTAGTGGTCCTGAAAGGGGAAAGAGAGGTATGGGTTCAAAGGATTCTCTCGCTGACATGTATAGTGTATAGATATCAGTGTTTACCCTTGATGTGTGTTACAGACTTAACTTTAGAAAACCATGGATTTTGCATCTCCTTGGTTTTTGTCAGAGTTGCCTAATTTCAAAAGATGTTCACTTGGCCAGAAGTCCCTGGTGGCATTTGCCGTCAGTGGGCCTGGGCAACTTCATACTCTGTTAGAGCTTGTTCTCCTGGGTGCCTTCTGGTCAGCTATGAAAGTCTCAAGTGCTTCTGTGATCTTGTTTTTGTAGACGGGCCCACCTTCGCTTGTGCCTGGAAAAGTTGAAGGGGCTGGTGCCACTTGGTCCAGAATCAAATCGACACACTACGTTGAGTTTATTAACAAAAGCCAAATTGCACATAAAGGTAAGTGCATCCTGAGGTGCCTTTTTGTCTTGACTGCCCACTGAGAGTTTGTTTGTTGTTATGAGAGACTGTCTCCAGGACAGTTTCCTCCGCTGAACTCTTCCAACCTACCTCTTGGACGAATCACAGACATGTCCAGCACCCAACTGAGTAATTCTCACCCCCAAGAACCAGAAGTTAAATTGTCCATCCAGCTGTCCATGTGATGTACAAGCCAGAAATTCAGGGTCACCCTTGATCCTGATATCATCTTGCTCCTTAGCCACATGCCTTCAAGACTCACATATCCCACAGCCTGCTCTGTTTCCATAAACACCATCATGAACTGCAGCAGACTCCTCAGAGGGCTCTTCCAAACTAATCTCCCTGCTTCCCAAGGTCAGTCCTGCCAAAGTTCAAATCAACATGTCACCACATGTAAAAGTGTTCCACGGCTGCTCAGGACATACTGCGTCACCAGGCCTGCCTTACCTGCCCCCTCCCCACTCCCTTGCCTGTGCAGCAGCAGCTCATGCCAGACACTCTCCTCTCCGCTCCCCCCCGCCCGCCCCCAGCCCTTCTCAGTCCCTTGCCCTTGTCAGGCTATCTCACTGCAGGGCCTTTGCACATGCTATTCCCTCTGCTTGGTGCACTCTTCCCCTCCCTTCTTCACCTAGTTAACTTCTTGTCATCCTTCAGACCTCAGCACAGGTATCATGGTGCAGGGACACCTTCCATGACTGAGTCGCCTTCTTCCTGTTAAGAGATGGTCCTCACTGCTGGATCTCTCTCTTTAGGACTCATCACAGTTGACATCTGACCATGGTTTGTGTGACTGTTCACTTGTCTGCATCCACTATGTTAGGATACAGACAAGGATGGGACCAGATCTTTGTATTCACCTTGTATCCCCAGCACCTCCCAGAGGATCTGAAACAAAGTCAGCACACAGTATGTGTCTTGAAAAGCAAAGGGTAACTCCTGAGCCAAAATCACCGTTTAGCGTGTTTTTATAGTCATAGTCACAAGTGGACACATGTCACTTGAATTATAGCTAGTAGCCTGCATACATGGCAGTTCTGCAGCAGTGGGGCAAGAACCTCTGTTTAGAGCAAAACAACCGCAATTACACAAGTCTTCATAATTATCTGAAGAATTATCTGAGAAACTAGAGAACAGATTTGTGAAAACAAAGTGATCTATGAAAATGTGTTTTCTAAGCTCTTATTTGGACAGTTTGGAATGAGAACTTCAAAAGGGAATATCATTCCTGCCAACAGACAAAAGTTAATTGAGATTTGGCATGACACAAAAAAATCACGAGTGCAATTGGGATGCGTACTTGAATAAACGTACCTTTGCAGGGAAAGGTATGTTTCTGAAGCTTCTGTCACACACAGTTGCTCAGAGAGTAGGTGTTGGGGGAGGCGTCACCACAGACAGGGGAGACCAGTTGGGGGTTCCCACCAGTCTTTTCACTCTCGTGGCTGAGGGGGGCCGGATGCCAGAGTGTCAGCTCACCCCGGAATCCACACAATGGTGCAGGTTCCACCTTGCCACTGACGCTGATCAAGTCAGATGAAGACGGGGGGTCAGCAGCCAGTCAGCTTCCTGTCCCCGCGAGAAGCTCAACAAGGGACATGACAGACGGCTTCTGTGGGAAACTGGCACATTTCACCTCTAGGCAGGGAGGTGCGGGGCCATCACCGATTGTGAAATCTGCCCACGCCCTTCAACAACTTGCCCCTTCGACCCGCAGAAACTTGAAGACTGTGACAGAAAAGCCATTCACCAAATCGACCAGCTGCAGCGAGAGCAGCGGCACCTGAAGAGGCAGCTGGAGAAGCTGGGCATCGAGAGGATACGGATGGACAGCACCGGCTCCACTGTCTCCTCCGAGCGCTCTGACTCGGACAGGGGTGAGCGTCCCCCCGCCCCCGCCCCCCCTCCCACCCGGGCAGAGCGGGGACCAAGAGGCCCCCTGACTTAGAGAAGTCAAGGGGTGTGACCTGCAGGAGCCGGCCTCCCGGTCCCTCGGCGGTCAGGCCCCGCAGCCGAGCTTGTCTTTCCCAGAGCGGGCCCTCACCGCGGTCTGTCTCGTCCCCACAGAAGAGATCGACGTGGACGTCGAGAGCACAGACTATCTCACGGGCGACCTGGACTGGAGCTGCAGCAGCGTGAGCGACTCGGACGAGCGGGGAAGCATGCAAAGCCTGGGCAGTGACGAGGGCTACTCCAGCTCCAGCGTCAAGAGAATAAAGCTCCAGGACAGTCACAAGACGACGTGTCTTGGTCTCTAGGAGAGCGTGGTCGCTTCGGCTGCCGCCCGGATGGTCCTCCCTGTCGGCTCCGATTTAGGTAGCGTATGGGACCTGCCCACAATCCCCTCGCACGTCGGCTTCCGTGTATCACGTCACCAAGAGCAGCTGCGTTTAAAAGTTGTCAAGGAAGTGATTAGGATTGTGGGTTTCTGTTTTTTTCTTTTTCCTTTTTCCTTTTTTTAAGTCCCCGATCCCCATTTCGAAAGGGGTTGAGTTGGCCGCTGAGCCAGTCAGTGCAGCCAGGACACCCAGGGGCACCTCGACTCCGTGTTGCTCAGTCTGGGGTGGCTGAATGCTGCTTAGCCCCGCAAGAAGTTGGGGGACGCCGACCAGGATCGTGGATTTCTGATTGCATCCTCTAGCTTCTCTCTTTCTCTCCACAAGTCTCTCTGAGAGACCGTACATTCCAATCAGTTCGAAGCATCCAAGAACTCTGAGGCCAAATAAGCACCTCTGACGTCTCGGCAGTTTCCCCCTCTTATTTACTGTCCTGTGTGGTCTTCTAGACCTTCCTTAACGTTTTCTGACTTCCTGTGTGACATGCCTAGCAGAAACGTCCGAATGTGTCTTGTGCTTAGGAAACTGAAGGAAACAAACTTCTCAAGTTGAGATCCTGATCTCAGAACTCCAAAGTAAGCTTTGAAAGTGGCATTTAAGAGCACTTAGCCCTGGCCCTCACCACCCGTGACGAGTCAGGAATACCTCCAGAAAACATGCCCTTCACACACACACACACACACACACACACGTACACACACCCCGAGTGAATGCCCCAACCCACGTGCAGACAGGAGCAGTATTTCTCACCTTCAGATGGACACCTTGCTTATAAAAGTTCCAACGTTATTTGTTCTCACGAACACAATGGTACAATCTATTTTTGTGCGCTGTCCCTGGGTCCGTGCTGTGTCCTGCTCTCCGAAGGCACGTTTCCCCTCCAAGTTGGTTTTTCTACTTGTCTCTGGAACATTTTTTTTTCCTACCTCAGAGATAAATGAGATCTCCATTTCCCACTTAATACAAACTGATTATGCCTCTTTTTTTTTTCCCGAATAAGTGACATTTGGTCCAATCCTTAACTATTTTCCTATGTAACTTTCAGCAATAACTGAGCTTTGGCACTAGCTGAGCTAGTGTCCATCATCAGTGAAAGGGGAAAAGTCCACATTTCTACTCTCTGTTGCAGGTGAACAGGAGGGGATGGTACAGTGTTACTAGAATCTCTCTCCTCACTGTTTTTGGACGCACCCGGGAACTTCTTTATGGAGGCTTTTGGGTTGATAGTTTAAAAGGCTGATTTTTCTTTCTGGTTATGATTTCTCCCTTAAGTGGTCTCCCACTTTGTAGCATTTTTATTTAAGCTAAAACAGAGCACATGTATATGTACATAAGACACATTAAATCTATAAATACTATTTATTCATTTTATATAAACTAATGTAATGGAAAATAAATTCTTACAACTTTGTGCTTTTATAGATGTTCTAGAAACTTTGTATGTAGGTATCTACAAAATTGGCTCATTTCCCCTTAATATTTTTGCATTCATATTTTCGAGGTCTCGATGTTTTCAACCTCTGGCGAACCTTTTTCATTGAATTTGAACCATTTGTAATAACTGTGACGCTGAAACAAGAGTGTGTGTCACAACGTGATGAGAACATTCCTAAAATCTACAGCCGCACTGCAACCTAAGGGCTCGCTGGCTGAACTGGTAGTGGGGGCCGCCTGTGCCCCCAGCTGGCCTGCGGTCTCCCCACCACAGCCTCGCACCTCCTCCGCGCCCCCTCCTTGCCCACAACTAAAAGTTCAAACGCACTCCACACGGAAGCTCATTCTAGACGTGAAGAGCAGTCTGAAACATTACCTTTGTATTTATTTTTGCTTTTTAAATGATTTCTTAATGTATTCAAAAAATTTTAATTGGAACTAGTAGATTCCTAAATGATTCCAAAGTCATCTCTAATTCTTCTATTTTTGTTCTGTTTTTCTCTTCATTTCAGCTTTGGGTGGGGGGAGGGGCAGGTGATACAAAAGATTTTTCTTTCTTTTTTCTGTTTTTTAATTGTTGGAATCTTTTCCAATTACCAGCTGAAGATTTGCACTGAAATACAACTTGTATGCCTTTTGCATTTTTAAAGCCTGCTTCCTGAATTTAAGCAGAGTGATAGTGTTCAAAGAGCCAGCTCAGCCTGTAACATGTTTGAAAAAAGATATAACTGCACTTTGAGGTCCCTTTTGAATGCCATTCACTAGACCTCGAAAGCATTTTAATTGCTACCTTCAAGCGCCTCACAAGTCCATGATGCTGGATGCTGTATGGCATCGAAAACTCAAGACTTTGGGAAAAGCTTGTGGGCTTGTGTTGAGGGAGGGAAGGGAACAAAACTCATGTATTTTGTTTGTTTAATTTAGAAATAAGGCATCTGAGAGATGCCGTTATTTTCTGTGTTTTAATTGTGCCTTTTGAGTTAAACTGCATTTTTGTCTTTTGGTTGAAATATGAAATGTACTGTCCCAATATAAAATAGTAATTATTTGACCTTTGCACTGTTTGTCTGGTCCTTTTCAATTTGATGGCATATAAATGTGGAACTTGATAGATCTCTATATTTTTTATTCACTTGTGATAAACTGACACCAGGGTTAGACACAACTTTCAAAGCTCGAGGCAGACCAAATCGGCGTGCCAGACAAGCCTCTCTCTAACCAAAACTGTAAGCTTCAGGACCAGCAAACTCAGCCCAAGGCAGCTAATCCTCTTCCCCATGTGGCTGATCAGCCGCCCTGATTCGCCAATCTGCCCTGCCATTCACTTATCCACCAGCATGACTGTTAAGAGCTAGACAGTCTTTTTGGTTCTGGTTTTTCTATTTTTTTTTTTTTAATTTTTTAAGCAAAATGAAAAACCTTTCTATTAGGGTTATTGGGGGGAGGGGATGGGCAAAGATATAAACCCCAGCCTTTAAGACTTTGACTGTTGTACGTAAATAATAGATGTGTGTAAATATAGGCACATGCATATTTTTATGTGAAAACTGGTTTTAAGAAACTAAGAAGAAATCTACACTCTTACTGATACCATTGCAATGCAAGTGGGAAAATAAAGAGTATGTAGTGCAGTTTAATTTCATGCAGTGAGAAAATTTCTATGTGTGCTTCTGCTAACACCCAGAAGACCTAACTTTCCCTGCCTGTTGGCTTAGAATGGCGGGCACGCACCCAGGGTGTTTTTGGTTTCTTTTGCTAAGCAGAGATCTGGAATTCAAGGTGCTGATAGTAACCGCGGCTCATTTCTCTAGTCACATATCTTATGCTAGTGATTCAAAGAACGTCACCTTTTAGAGCAGGACCTAGATTTTTCTTCCTGTCAACCCAAAGCTAAAATAATTTCAGTGTTGATTCAGAATTGAGCTCTAAGAAGGCCCTGACCCTACACTTGGCCACTTAAGTGGTTTGAGGATTTTTTTTTTTTTTAAAGATGGGCATTCTCCTTTAACCTCTACTTTTTTCCAAAAGAAACAAAGGGTCCTTCCCTGGGTTTCCTATGGGTCTCTTCTCTGTCCCTGAAGTGGCCAAAAGCAAATCTTGGGGTGTGGGGGAAAAAAGTATAAACTGGGTAGGATTGTGATGTTCAGAATAACTGCCAAGCAATATCTTGGGACTTAATAATGCATTTTGTGGACTTCCTTTTTCCTCTCCCCCATCCTTTAAAGAGAAAACTTACTTTTGAAAAGTATATACAGACACATAACTTAGGTTTTTATATCATACTGAATTGGCTAGGATACCACTTTCATTGTGCTTTATAATCCATTTAGTCCCCCAAATCTCACTCCTTTCTTTCTTCTTTGTTTCCCCAAGTGTCTTTGTCTTCCTCTTTTACCTGCCCTGTGTGTTGAACACCAGAAAGACAAAGGCTGCAAAGCAATTTCCTGCATGTCAGTCTTTTATTTTTGTATGTCTAACTCTTGGATGCGGTAGGTTTCAGTAGCTGGCTACTCCTGATGTTAAAAATCCTTCCTGGGAGAAGATGACCCAAAGACCCTTTTAGATGAGGTGTTTTTTCTCATTCTACATGATCAGATCTCTGTAGACTGTGGGATGTTTTGTTTTTGGAAATATTGGGGGATGGGGGCAGGGGGGTATGATATGTGATTTATCATGATTTTTTCATTAATTTACTACATGGATGATTTTCTTACCCTATCTTCTGAAAGAAGAAATAATTGCCTGGGACTGTTATCATCAGCTATTGAATGGCTGAAGAAATTGAGTATCTTTGTCTTCTCTCAAAATCATAAAATAAGGATTAGTAAAGCACTTGTTTCTAAGATTTACCCAGATTTTAAATTTTGATTTTATATTCTGTCTGGAGGGTGTGGAGGATTGAGAGGGCTTTCTTCATTTTAGCTTTCACCAGAGAACCAAGCTTGCCTTGACCCCTGTCCTTAGAATTGGTGCTCTAGGAATGTTGCTGTCAACCATCAATGTTGGGGGCCATCACCCTAACAGTAAACACAGCCTAAACAGGGAGCAGCAGACAAGAGTGTGAATTTCTGTTTCCAGATGTTTATTTCTTGATGTAAATATGATGCCAATGTAAATCCTGTGTCAAGACATAGAGAATGGTGCTTTTTACTACAGTTAGTACATGCATTTTGAGAACTACTCCATGTTTTAGAGAATCTTTGCTGTGTATATGTAAACTTCTGTATTGTTCAACCGTTAACAAATAATAAATTATTTCATTATTAAAGAAGTTTTCGTCTTCCTAATGTTTTGTACCCAGTTTAACCTTTCGTGGTTTTTTACTTAGAGAACTGAGTTCATCAGGTTTCTCTTTCCTTTTAATAATCATGGAAAATTTGCTGGCCAAAAGTTCTCAGGACTTGGATTCTGTAATGGGAGCTTTGATCGTGTGGCTCCGATTGAGGCCCTTCCCCGCTGCTTTCCTCCTGTTCTCCTGCTCAGGCACTCGCTCTTGGCTCTGCTCCACTGTGCTACATCTGATCATGCAGGCTGTCTGCGGGACCACACAGCAAACCAGACTACGCTGTCTTTCTGGCAGCCTGTGGTCTGGTGTGGAAGAGGGCAAAGTACTCACCACTCAATGCAATACAGTCGGTGGTGGGATAAAGTCATACAGGGACTGGCTATGAGAAATCATAGAAGTGGTGACATGCAAGTGGGCCCTGGAGAAAGAGTGTTCCCTTGCAGGCAAAGAGAAGAGTCAGTACAACCAGGCAGATGGTGGAGAAGGGAGAGCTCCTGGGGCTGGGGTGTGGCTGGGAGCCTGTGGTGAGTGATGGGGTGCAAAGGGGGACACCACACCAGGAAAGACAAGTCACTGAGAGGAGAAAACACACCCAGTTTGGGAAATTTGTTTTTTCACATATTAAACCCTTTGGTTAATTCACATTTATTCATTCACTTTTTAAATATTTATTTGGACTTCATTTGTTTTTCTTGATCCACGATCCTACCAAAGACACATGTTAAATCCTAATCATCTCTCCTTCAGACTCCTCTGGCTGTAACAGTCACTCAGACTCCCCTTGTTGTTGCTGTTGTTCTGAAATATTTATTATTTTTTATTCACTTATTTGGCTGTGCCAGGTCTTAGTTGTGGCACTCGGGTCTTCAGTCTTCATTATGGCATGCGGGATCTAGTTCCCCGACCAGAAATTGAACTGCCCCCTGCATTGAGAGCACAGAGTTTTGGCCCCTGGACCACCAGGGAAGTCCCTTTCTATTCATTCATTTGACAAACAGGGATTGAGTGCCTGGGCTAAGCCAGGCTCTATCTTAGAGCTGAAGACATACCAATGAACAAAATACACAAACCCCCTGCCCTCTCAGAGTTCCTTTCTAGAGCAGCAGGCTTCGTGTTCAAGTCCTTGGCCAGGCAAGTCTGCTGAGCTGAGTACGTCGTCCTGACCTGCCATTGTTCCCTCAGCAGAGCACTTGTTAAGGAAAAAGGTGTCTTTCTTCTTCTTGGCCAGTGGCTTCTTATTCTAAAACCACCTAAAATTTTTGAAAGGTTTTTATTTTGCCCCAAAAGTGAACTATGATGACTTGAGGGTGTTATGAAAAAGGATCCTTCTGGTATTTCTACTTGGGAAAAGCTAAGGCCTACCTCTTTTGTTTTCTCCCCAAAAAGCAGAGCTATATGGTAGGCCTTCCTAGGACGTGTGAGTCTGGGACCCATCTCTGTGGAAGGCTCCAAACTGAATCCACCAAAACTAAATCGCCAGCACCATGGACGAAAGCTACATTCTGCCTCGCATCAGGACCCCTGTTTACTGTGGCCGAGAGAGGAAGCTTTAAACCACAGATAACCAAGACAGCTCTCACACATAAAGAGAACCTCGCCCACAAGATGACAAATCTTATTTTCAAGGTTTCCTGACTTTGTTTGTTCATAGTAGCCTGATGAAGAGAGTCCCCTTCTGCTATTTGGGCCCATGGTCAACTCACACGTGCTGAGTGCTTCTTGAGCACTGAGTGCTCTGCTCTGTGCCCCTCGACCCTGGCCAGGAACTCTCACAGCCCTGGGGATGTGCCATCATTATGCCCCCTTCACAGGTGAGGACTCAGAGAGAGGGCTGAGGCGTCTTGCCTTGAGTCCATGGAGCTGGTGACCTCTGGCCAGAGCCCCGCTCTCCCTTGCCTCAATTTTTGCAAATTGCAATTGTGTCAAGTTCTAATCAGTTTCTCATGCATAGGCACCTTTTCTGTTTTAAGCCTTTGAATGCAGCTACCTACTTTCTGAGGAGGCACCTTCAGCTCCAGTTAGTGGGGCAGAAACAGGGAAAGCACAAGACAATTGTGGATTGTCATGGCTTGGTCATCACCCTCCCCTGGATCTCTCCGAGCTGGCAGTGAGGAGTAACCACCCTCTCTGGACCCTAACACGGAGCCCATGGCAGCAACCCAGGCAGCTCCTGAAGGAGGACGTTCTGTCCAAGAGCTGAAGATGCTCTTTCTCTACCACGTCTTTTGGGTTGAAGACCCCATGACATCACTCTACTGATTCCACCAGCATTACCACATACAGATCTGCTTGGCCTTAGCCTTGGCGTCCCCATCACCCCATCATCACCGAGCACCACTTTGCCCACCTCTTAGGTGTCGTGTGACCTAGACGCGGACGGGCACACTGAAGCTCCCTACACAGAGACCCTGGTTTAGCAGACCTGGCCATATAGCCCTCTTGGCCTTCTCCTCTGTTCGGAAGAGTCAGCTTCCAGGGCTCAAGGGCCCCACAGGAAGTCCTGTTCAGGGCTCAGCATTGACTGGGTGGAAAGTCAGCTCTCTGCCCCCTCTGTCCCAGGTGAGACTTCTAGAGTGGCCGTGTGGAGCCCAGACGAAGTGGTTGGGGCTGCTGACTAGAGGTGACAGGCTGCCCAAAGGGAAAGGAAGCCACATGCAGGAAGAGTGTGAGGGACCCTCCTTCAGGTGGACGGGAGGGTAGTTTCTGGCTGGCTGGAGCTTCCGCCAACCTCCCTCCTTCTGAGCAAAGTCAGCATCTCTATGAACACAGGCTCTAGACTTGGTGGGTAGCTGAGGCGAGAGCCAGCGCTGGAGCAAGGGGAGTGGCCCCAAGACCATGGAAGAGCTGAAGGTCAGGGAACCTGGTGGGCTGAAGAGGCTCCCTGTGGCCCTGGCATGGGTGCTAAGTCATTTTAGTCATGTCTGACTCTGTGTGACCCTATGGACTGTAGCCCACCAGGCTCCTCTGTCCATGGGATTCTCCAGGCAAGAACACTGGAGTGGGTTGCCATGTCCTCCTCCAGGGGATCTTCCTGACCCAGGGATTGAACCCCATCTCTTAAGTCTCCTGCGTGGCAGGCAGATTCTTTACCACTAGCAGCCCCTGAGAAGCCTTGGGGTGGTGGTGGGGTGTTCTTTTGTAGATTGCTCTTGGCCACACCTGGGGCAGAGGTGGATGAGGACAGTCAAAGCAGAGAGCTCTGTGTCAAGGCTCCGCCTGCCTTCAGAGAAAGCATGACCTGGGAGAGAAGACACCTGGAGGCTGTCCCCAGCCCCGCACAGAGGGCCAGGGGATAGGAGACCCAACATCCATCTGCTGGGAAGTTTGTTCAGTTAAAAACAGAATGTCTGACCGACTCCTGCCTTGCCTGGTTGTATTCCCACCGCCCAGAAGGCAGAGTTTGTTTTCATGAAACACCAGAGCGAATTCTGATCCACGAAGACAAGCAGGATGGCCAAGTGGGAGGGGAGGTCCTCGGAGGAGCACCATGTCCCTCAGATGCCTCGGAAGGGTCCCAGGTGATGGTCAAACACACACACTCTGGTCAGATGGATCCCACCCTTTCCACTCTGGGGGACCGGCCCTAGTTTCCTGGGTCTGCATAGTGAACATATAATAGTATTTAACTTCTTGAGGCTGTTGAGGGGATTAAGGGAGACACGGTGTGGGAAGTCCAGGGCCTGGTGGTCAGGAAGCTTAGTGTCTCTGAGCAATGACAGTTAGTTCACTAGCAAGGATGGAAGCTGGAGGAGTGTCAGGCATGTAACAGATTTTCAGGAAACAAAGTTCTGACTTTCCGAAAGAAATCAGCCTGGAAGGTAAAATTACATTAGTGGGTAGGGAAGTGTTCAAATATGTCACTCTGACTGTGCTGTTTAGACAACAAATTGTGGGCAGGAAGTGGTTAAACTGAAAGGAGGAGCAGAGAAAGGCTGACTCAGGGACAGAAGGTGACTGACTGTAGGGGAGGCACCAGTTTTCAGGTGGTCCCTCACCTGGGGTGCTGCTCAAAGGGCAAAACTAGCCCTCATGGGACGTCCCTGGCGGTCCAGTGGCTACACTCCCAGCTCCCAATGCAGGGGGCCCAGGTTCAGGCCCTGGTCAGGGAACTAGATTCCACATACTGCAACTAAGAGTTCGTGTGCTGTAACTATAGAGTCCTGTGTATCACAGCTAAGACCCAGCGCAGCCAAGTAAATAAATATTAAAAAAAAAAAAAAAAAAAAACGAGCCCAGAATCCCCCAGCCCAGTAAGGGCAACCCTCAAAGAGAAAGCAGGCAGTGCAGGGGTGGCTCTGAGAGATGTTTTCAAGTAACTCATCAAAAGAGTGCTAGATCCTCAAGTCCCAGCTTTTGCATGCATCTTTCCAACAGCAAATTCAGACCAATCATAGCTAGAGCGCTAGCCAGACAGTCAAGGAAAAGCCACACTTCAGGTGTGAACTCTGAGCAACTACAGACATGGTGACATTCTCTGCAATTTTGGAGTTAAAAGCTTGAATAAAAGCAGTTGCCGGTCAAGTGCAGACCAGCACCAGGCAGTAACTGCACGGGGCCTAGAAAAGGCACCAATGGAAACAGGTCATCAGGGCAGGGCCTCTCTCTTCACCACACTTAGATCCTTTAAGAGCTTCCCTGATAGCTCAGTTGGTAAAGAATCTGCCTGCAATGCAGGAGACCCCGGTTCAATTCCTAGGTCAGGAAGATCCGCTGGAGAAGGGATAGGCTACCCAATCCAGAATTCTTGAGTTTCCCTTGTGGCTCAGATGGTAAATACGGGAGACCTGGGTGCAATCCCTGGGTTGGGAAGATCCCCTGGAGAAGGGAAAGGCTACCCACTCCAGTATTCTGGCCTAGAGAATTCCATGGACTGTATAGTCCATGGGGTCGCAAAGGGTCGGATGCGACTGATCAACTTTCACTTCACTTCACTTCAGATCCTTTAAGGCAGGGCAAAAATTCGAACCCAGTGCAAGTTTCCCAGT